AAATGACAGTGAACGGTCACTGAGGCAGTTAGTAACACGATGAATTCGGAGTCATTTATCAGCTATGACAGTCACTATGGTCCGGGTCTTTCCACAATCTATCATGCTTCCAGCATAGTGACATCACTCTCAGTCACCCTGGTACAAAAACCATTGATCGTTTAAGCTAACGACCGCATGTTTCAGGACACCAGGCACCGAAAAAGTTTCCCAAGGATTTATATTAATTAGCAATATTCAATACTTACGAGACCCCCTTTTTTTAAAACTGTTGTTTAAAAGACTCTGCGGTCTTAGACAGTTGACCCAGGAACACAGATCGTACATAAACGCTTCATGAAAATGAAGATAATAGTCACCTAAAGATAATATGAAATTGTACTACGTTTTCGGAAATTAACAGACGCTTTTCACAATCAGGAAAGGTAAGCAATATATTTGCATTTACTGTGGAATTTTGTTCGGTATCTTCCACTCTGGAACACCAATTTTGAACGCAATGTTTCGAAACACGATTAAAACCGTAGGCATCGATCAAATGTGGAGATAATGATGCAAATGCAGAGTTTATGCTTCGAGTTCCAGCTGCCAGAATTCGACTAAATTGGCGTTTGGGACTCCTAACTGGAATCATCATTCCCAACATTTAGGTTCGGACTCTAAATAGAAAAAAACAAAAACATGTGTGTGCGGGTTTAACATTTTAAACATTCTATACATTCGCGCCAATGTCACAATTACTTTAGAAACAAAACTGTGGGGCATAAGGTGCGTCTGTTAATTTCCGAAAACGGAGTACAATTTCATATCATCTTTAGGTGACTATTATCTTCATTTTCATAAAGCGTTTATGTACGATCTATTTTCCTGGGTCAACTGTCTAAGACCTCAGAGTCTCTTAAACAACAGTTTAAAAAATGGGGTCTTGTAAGTATTGAATATTGCTAATTAATATAAATCCTTGGGAAACTTATTCGGTGCCTGGTGTATTGAAACATGCAGTCGTTAGCTTAAACGATCAATGACTTTTGTACCAGGGTGACTGAGAGTGATGTCACTATGCTGGAAGCATGATAGATTGTGGAAAGACCCGGACCATAGTGACTGTCATAGCTGGCGAATTCATCGTGATACTAACTGCCTTAGTGACCATTCACTGTCATTTTATTTTTCTAGTCTGTATCACTTAAGAGCTACTGTGGGAGGTCAGGTGAATGTTTCTAGGAATCAATACACGTTTGTTTCTTTTGAGCCTAACATTAACTGTTCTTTTTCGTTTGCTGCTGTGAAAATCTGAAGAGAAACTTGTTGTAACATGTAATTCATGGGCAATAACCGTGTTGTAACACCATGAGCTACAGGCATATGCGGCTTCAATTCTTATATCTTGAATTCCAAGTGAAAGGGTGTTTACTCCTTTATTCACCTGTACAACAAATCACTATGTGATGGAGATCTTCTCCCATTCTGTACAAGTCTGCATCTTCTGGGGGAAATGAATGTCTTAGAAAGGATAACACCAAATGTGGCTCTAATAAATTCATGCCATTCGGAGAGACTGACATGGCTTCCAGTTCAGGGAGTCTATGTCACTTACCGACAGAAAGAGCTTGAAAAATAAATAGAGAGGTTATTCGGTGGAGCCAGTAATCAAACCCATTCAGGATAAAATTTGGCCCAGTAGACCGAAAGGATCCCACTTCCCCTTTTCTTCCCATAGCGCCAGGAATTCTTTGGTATTTTGCAGAATACAGTTGAGGAATGTTGGTTTAATGCCTGATCGAAAGAATGTACCTTAGTTCAGTGATATCTTCCATCTACAGGTAAGAGAAAAAAAAAAAAAGTGCAAAGAATATTTTTTTGTCTATTATTTTTGGGAATGTTTTGTGAATCCTTTCCCGACACAAAACATGGTTTCTATTCAGTAATGAGTGATTTCCCTTCCATACCATACACATTTTACAGCTACAGTGACGGAAAATCAATTGGTACACCGACTACTGATGGATATTATAGTGATACATATCCTTTTAGATTATAATTTGGGCGTGGATATCGCTGACTTCACTCCTGCTTGTCCTTCATTGGATCGTGTTGAGCTGCACTGCTCGTTGCAGAAATTCATTTGGTTTGAGGGCTGCTGCAAAAATCATAGTAATTTCGACGTGGAACTTCTTGATTCTGTAAACCGTTTCTGACACAATAACACAACAAAATGTGTGCTCCGGCAGGCCGCTGCCGAATGCTTCAGTATACTACAATTAGAGCTGTAAAAATAACTGTTTAATCCGGCATGGAACAGGCATAAATAAATGATAGTTTTCTCGCAGTTAATGTCACACCAGCCCTGATTGACATTGTATTCATTCTGCCCCCTTCTATTATGTCACACAGATCGCTCCACACAATGATTCGCCATCCCGGTGGTTATTGCTCTATCATTCTCTTGAATATCATGTTAGATTCTTCGTGTTATTTTAAACCAATTTATTTTTATTGCATTTATCCCTTGTGTCCTGTTTTTTTTTTATACCAGAATCTCAATTTGTAATACATCATTGGACATGGTTAAATTCAGATCGTACTTCACATTTCTCAGCTTGTGTTCAGAAAGGGTGTTCTTTGTTTTGATTACAATGTACTTTGTAACAAATGATAGACTACCAGGCTATGTACGAGCTGTAATTTATGTTACAATACTAATTATATTTGTTTATGTTGCAGTTGACAATGCTTCTTATCATTAACAGTACACTATTTCATTTCTCTTCAAATTTTGACCTTTAATTTGTTTCTGTTTCCATTGTAATAGTGCCATTTCTCCTCGCCTCGGCTTGATCTCAGCAGGTTATGACCCCAGAGCATGTGTTATATTAAATTGATCTCACTCTATTAGAGTTGAAATTGGCGCCGTGCTTCACGTGATTACTTGACAAGTCCATATTTCAATTCACATAACAACATAGGCTTTGCTTCTGTGACGTTTCGTTGAGCCAGTTTTTGGTCCTGTTAATTAAGATACAACTCGAGTGTATATGAATTAATATTACAGGAGGCCCAGAAATAATTGCTCCTGTGGTACAAGGCCATTTCAATTTTACATTAGACTATTCACTGTTGCTGTTTTGATTACGATCAACTCTTTTTTTTTCCTAAGGCCTGCCTTGTGGTAACTCTCCATGTCTTTTGCCTTGTCACAGTCCTGGTGCAAAATGTTCAATCACTTGGTATACATGAAGAATAATGTGGAAAAATGTGAGTTTATTCAGAGTGGCAGGAGAAACACATTCGAATGACACGTCTGAAATGATAAGAAGTTGGATGGTTATGATGTCCATAGTGATCTCTATGTCATTACCCGGAAGTAATTGAAAGTGATAATGCAGCGACAAGGGGATATTAAGAAAGATGATTGAATGTTAGCCTTTATTGCGATAGAGTGTGTGTGCAAGGGTAGTGATGTCTTGATTCCGATGTATTTGGACATGGACAGGAAAGGTTTTGAACAATATAGATCAAATGTATGCAATTATATCGAGTTTAGTTTGAGAAACTTGGTCAGCAAACACGAGTTAGATCAAGGGATCTGTTTCCGTGCTGAACAGCATTATGACTGTATGACTCTGGCATTGTGTAGAAAACACCTGGAGGACGGTGTACATTTTATCACAGCCTAGTCACGTGAAAAAAATAATTGATATCGAGGAGTGCCACGAAGGCGCTCCAGACTGGTTCCAAAACGATGAGACAGTGTTATGCACAGAGGCAAACTTGGTGTGTGTTCTGGAGAGTTTAAGGTGATAACATTGAAATTTACACTACAATGAACGGACGAGATTGATTTAATGCAGATAAGAGGTTTCCTTTCTATGCGAGTTGAGAATCAAGTCGCAATGAAATACTGATGTGTATGCATCTGAGGTCCGAGATGCGAGAATTTACTTTTTTCTTTTGACATTGTGAAACTTTAGAACACTCTACTCCAGAGGGCTGTGCGCAAGTTAAAGTTAGAGCGTGGTAGATTTCTGATCACTAATGCTGTACAGGGTTATTGGATTGAGGTGGTAAAATACATTACTGTAACATTCCACATGGTGGATGCAATGTCAAATCCATACCTTACATTCACGCAGATGGAGAAGGGATAACGAAATCAGAAATTATCAAACGTGCAAATGAGTTACCATTCTAACGTCCCATACAGAGAAAATGTAAATCTATTGCAAACGTTGTTAACAAAATGACTATCAGTGAATCGAGGAAAGGACAGCAAAACGTCACAGAGGCAAAGCCTTTGTTACGAAATTATGGTTAGGATGCAGAAAATGAGGAATAAGCTTCTGAACTTTGAAAAAAAAAGCCAGATGCATACCGACGAGAATGAGAAGAGATGACAATAAAACTCCGCACAGCATTGTTGAAAACAGTGAAGCTTCAAATATTTTTCTTATCTTTCAGGATGAAAGGGAAAAAGTAGCCTACGATGTGACCCAGCTAATGGTAGTTTTACCAGATAGGAGCGACACAACAGATCCAGTGATAATGCAAAATCACAGCACTTTGGTCAGGTACTTCCATCATGCATATAATATTTTCGTTGAAGTAAACAACATCGCGGAAAGGAGATTGGAACAGATAGGAGGGGAAGAGAAGCAGTGGGAGGAAGGGAAAGTGGAAAAAAAATGCCAGAAGGCTGGAGGCGGCGGGAAATAACCACAGGAATGATCGAATATTAGTCTACAATAATAAGATGTTGAAATAGCGATTGAAGACAGAGAGCATGGCTTAGGATCACATTCAAAAACACAGCGGTGTTGACTGCTCCACAGTGCTTCAGTGTTGGCAACAGAGAATTGTCGAAGCTTGAGAATGATTCTTTCAGAACTGCCGTGAAACAAATTCAATGCAAAATCTTCTGATGCAAGTTTGTCAAAGAGTAATTCCCAAATGAGATTCCGTGACTGATAGAAAAGGAAAACAGAGATTCTTCTTTTTTCTTTTCACCTTTTTATGCAACTGCTGAAAGTAGTGAAGGGAGACATCAGCACATTCTTTAGCTCTTCACGGAATTTATTCTGGGCTATTGTGTAGATGAAGACATTATTACAGGAATTTAGCATTTGGAGCATGATAGTCGTCTCCTGTAGGATATACTGCGGGTCATTGAAGTCCAGGCCACCGAAGTAGCCTTCACCTGAAATCTGCACGTACAAGAAACGCCCAACATAGGTGGCCCACAGAAATAAGAAGCTGACAGAGATCGCAAAAAGGAGGACAATGGACTTCTTACGATTGGACGTCTCCTGGTCTCCTCGATTCTCGGCGCCCCTGATCCTTTTGCGGGCTCTGCTGGCTGCTAATATGTTACTTATAGTAAGGGCATTGAGTAGCAGAATAAGGAGGAATGGGAGAAAGGGAACTAAGATATGGTCCAGCCAATCGTAGGCCTGCCAAACGGGTGAAATATAATAGATTGACTTGATAATGCAGAACCAGGGCACACCATTCAGTGTGTACAATGGGCTAAAGATGAAGTAGAAAGGGGTGTTCTTGATACAGCTCAAGGTACACACGATTCCGATGACCACTGATGCAGTTCTATGAGTGCAATACCTGATCTTCAGGCTGTGGTGACAGATGGCCACAAAACGGTCGAAAGTGAAGGCCACCGTCAACCAGACTGAGCTATCCCGTATTGTAAAAATCAGCATGGTGCTGAGCGTACATGCAAGGGTGGTGGAAAGTACACTGTCCCGAAAATAAATCCGGCCAATCCGGTTGAGGATGCACCCATTGATGATGACACTGAAATCAGTCACCGCTATGGCCACCAGGTAGTAGGTGATGCAACAGGAGAGTCCACACCGACCTCGTGCTAGGATTATAATCGCCAACAAATTTGCTGCAATAAATGGAAAGAACTGTGACAAAATAACATAATTTTTTCCATGCAGCTTTAGCAATAGTCCTTAAACAATCCTTAGCTGTAACCTTCCTCTTCCATACTTTTACCTCCTCGAGACGCCAACTATGCCACTGTTAATTATCTAGAAACTCACGTTGAGTTGATCACTTGCCAGTACAAGATACAATCCAATCAATCATCAGCACACATCCCGTTCTCTGTTCAGGATAGTAATTAATGTGGCTAGTTATCAAACATAAAATAATGGAAGCCATGGCTGCCCATACCTCTATTCATAAAACACCCCATTTATACTTCAAATATACGCCCACTGAAGTACATTGGCTTTCCAGAGGATCATCGATAATTTTTTTTTCTTTTAACAATCTCATACTCAATTATGAGCGCGGGAATGCTCAATTTAACTTTTACTGTAACAATGAAGTAAAGTATCATTATCCACTTGTACATATTGGTCCTAATACATGAGCACATCTTTTAGCTCCTGACGGATTTTTTCTGGGATATATTGGGGAGAAAAGTTGTAAACATTTTTAGAATCAGTATTGACTAGTTACTGGAGATCGCTGCGTATGAGAATATTTTTCATCTTTTTTTATGTTAGGATACACTTAAAACAACTAAAACACCAACTGATCCGACGCTTCACACATCAGCTCACAATTGTTTGGCTGAGAGGGCGAATATGTCGTATTCTGTCCTTTTGAATGCAGTTCTTCTGTCTGCTCTTCTTATTGTGTGCCTGATTTTTGTGCATCATTGTTTAGTAATTGCTCTGCTTGTGTAGCTACTGGTTGCATTATAATCCTTCTTATCTTCGAGGTTCAATTGTTTTGCCAACACATGAAAATACATGATCACTCTCAGATCGTCGAGATAGCGTGAATATTCAATTTTCCTTAACGCGATCATTTCACTCCTATCACTTCTTGTTATCTTCTGACTGGTCATTTGTCGGAACATCCTTCTCATACCAAATTATTCATTTTCCTTTATGCTTTATATTAGGGCAGAGTGATAGTGTTCTTATTTCTGCAGAACATAAGACAGGGACTTAATCCCAATTAATCCAGCAGTTTGCAACAGCATCTCTGAAATGTTTAATTAAACATATCTAGAATTTTTCACGAATGGGCTTTTGTGGCAGAGTGTAAGTTTGCCCCCTTCTTTTGTAAGAAATGCATACATTCAGTTAAGACTAATTTAAAATAACAATTCGCCAAAATCACAAGTCACACGACACCAGGTCATTGTCCAACAGTTTTACATGACATCATAAGCTTTCGTATCAGTGCCATTTCATCAGGTGAAGTGACTTAGTCCATTCTGAGAACAAAATCCTCTACTTAAAGTATAAGGGTACTACCGATGCTCCTGCAAATCTAAATTCTGTATCCTCATGTCTGCCTCATTCACAGTCACATGCTTCTGTATCTGAGGGCGATTGACTGCTGACACAGTGTTTGAAGTATTCCCCTCCCTGATGTGTTGCAGTGCCTGCAGCTCAGCCTCTAACTCATCAACGCTGATTCGAAAACTAACGCTTGCTGCACTGGTTTCCAACATCTTTCAAATGGTGTAACGACAGCATATCTCCGGCTGAGGCATCTCTGTTCATTTTATTGACGTGGATTTTAAACAATTAAAGAGTGAATGTCATAACTATATTCTCCAGTTATATTAAATTGTCCTTATTTAAATCTGTTAGCTAATCGAAACATTACGAAGAAAAATCCAACAATCACCCATCAATTTTCCAGTGATGTCATATTTTGGCTCTTTCATGAAGTAACAAGTTGGAATTGATTTCTGCTGTTGATTTTTACTTTATCTCCCGTTATCACTAACGTTTCCACGCAAGTCATCTCTTCTCTTTATAAAGTTGCTGACCTGCTATCCGTTTGATTGTGAAGTTCTTGACTGCGCTCTCTCTCCTGCTCGTTATGAAGCTGCTTCTCCAATACCATTGTGTTATTGAGGCTTTGTGAATCATCTCCAGTAAACTACTTGCAGTGGCTGAGGAAAGACAGCAATTCCAACTTCTCAAATAGAACCTGGGTACAACCAACAAATATTGACCTTGTCAGAGGTGCAACACAATCTGCCAACGATTCCAAACAATAATTTCCAAAAGAACAACTCAAAGTGCAAATCGTAACAGCACAGGACAAAAGACAAAATAATTTAAGAAAAATGTCTTACATCTGAACGTACCTCTTCCAAGCATTTCCATACTTAATGTTCAATATTATATTAACAAAGAAGACTACCTAGTGAAAGTTCACGAGACTAAAACGGATGCATCCTTCCAGAAATCGCATTGTGAATTAGTGAAAAACAAAACAAATATAAGGATTGCGTTTTGTATTCTTTTAATCTTGCACTGACATTACAGCACGGAAATTCCTTTTATACTGCAATAATACACCATTATGCTCAATGCACTGGAGTACAATTTGGTGTGTTTTAAGAAATCTGAGTGGTGAACTGTATAATAAATTAATTTTCTACACTGACGTGCATTATATTGCATAACTGCTGCAGGAATTAAGGAGGACATTCGGACAATTACATCAAGGCTGTCTTTTCAAATGATCATCTCACTGAATGCAATTATCTACCATCTCCGCGTCATGCTTTACATTGTTAATTTTGAAGTGAACATTCAGTTCCCGTTTGAACCGTTGACTGAACCTGCCTGTATCATGCAGTCAAGTATTACAATCCGATCTCACCCACTCGCTGAATGAACAATATTTTTGCCATATCAATTTTACTGCTTTAGCGAAGTTGTTTTTTTTTCCTTGTTTATTTTCTGTTGTCTTGGCATCAATCATTTTACGAATAAGAATATATTTCAACTATCCAATAAACGATAAACCCATAAATATGTGTCATGATAAAAGAAATAATTCATTGTCGTCCCTAATAAATTCATTCCAAGCAACAGGCCATAATTGATCATAGCATGGCATTTTATTGTCTAACATGCTCATTTACACTGCTAATCTGATTGAATTTCCTTACGTCCAGACAGTGCTGAACATGAGAAATAAATATCCTGATCAAGAAAGAGAAAAGACAAAATATTAGAAATTTGCCAAACACAAACACTTCAGCGGATTCGTTTCTTTACCAGGTGCACCAATAGCAGCGACAATGGGATAGCAAATGGCAAAGACAGGTCCGTTTGCTGGTGCATGCATCGTTCTTCAGAAAATATAGATGTTCCCAAAGCAGTAGACAGTTGCTTTGTGACACATTGAAATCATCCTACATTTATTCCAAGCGAGAGTCTCCAGAGAAGCCATTAATTTTAGAACACGTACCTTACAACTAAGTGAATAAACAGACCAATGTATTTTCTGTTAAAACATTTGCAGCGCGATTGTATTCATGGAACAACAGATGGATGCAAATTCTGCGTTTTTCCACACCCTTCCCCCAGCACCCTCATGGCAGAAATCACAATTTTACGGTTTCATCACTGGAACTGTTTATGGGAGATTCTGAGTTGAAGTCTCGTCCCAAACTTCAATCTATCTCTCCCACCTTTGTCATCTTCAAAAATATTTCTTGCTTTAAGGTGTCAGATCAGTCCATGCTTTGGAATCATGTCTCAGTGATTTCGTGCTCAAAGATTTAATGTTAACTACATCTCAAACGGTTTCAATCTGAAATATTTGAAAACATGTTTTCGTAGATGGGAGGGAAAATGATGTGGAGAACATCCAGCACGTGGAAACAGTGAACCACGTGGACAGCGACTAATTTGTTCTGCTGCCACAAAGGGAGTAAAAACCTCAAATTCTCATGTCCAGCTTCTGAGTTCTTGTTACATTAGCTGTCGACAAATTAATAAAAAAACAAAAAACAAATAAACAGAGAGATCATCTTGTGTAATATCAGCTGAAACCTGGCTTGGAAAATTAGCATCAAGGCTCCTGGCTAATGTGAAACTGAAATTGCATCGTGGAAATTTAAATGTTCTACTGCAATAACTGATAAGACAGAGACGTGCAGAATGTCATTTAAAACGGAACTGGCTCTCCATCCTCAACAATTAAGACAAGGTTTAGCACAGCATAAGGACAATCATATAGACCTCTTTAATGAACGTGGAATTTAATGTGATCAGCCTGTAAATTCGTGACCTGGCACAGTGATAATTGGGACAGGGCCTACTTTAGAATAGAAAAATGACACGGTCACTTAAAGTAATTAATGTTCCCCATTCAGAACAGTGTAGAGGCAGGCTCATCCAAACGCGATACAGCATTGCCATAACTGAGCAAGTCCCAAAATCAATATAAATACCAATGCTGGAGGTTAAAATGAACTGAACCAGAATGTAACTGAACTACTGGGAAGTAAATGATCTAATGTTGTATGCACAGTATAAAAGGTATGAACAGCATACCCAAATGCCCGGTCTACTTTCATACAAACTGACACAGCACCCAGTGAAATGTAAAAATGGCTCATTGAGTGACTTGTTGCTAATGTATCTAGCATCGTACAAAGAAATTCAGGAATTAGTGTTGTAAGAGTTAATTAATTGATATACATGCATCGCTAGGATCCTGTGCAGCAATCATTTGGGTAGAGGTTCTTTTAATTTAATGCACAAGGAGAAAGAGAATTAGGATCTGATTGATAAGAATGGAAACACAGCATTTTGCAATAAGCAAGGATCAAGAACGCTGGAACAAAAATAAGGATGATATGAAGGAATAACAAACCAGGAAGAACTTGAGGAGATAATCAAGATAATGTGTGCAAAGTAATAATCTGAACCAAGTAAAGTGTTGACATGAAAAAAAAAACACTTCCAAACAAAGGAGACTGGGAGCAGTGCAATTAAAATCAGGGTCGGTGAAAATCTCAGCAGTGATAAACTTGGTATAATAATAAAAGAAAACAACAATTATCCACTCTGGATTGCCACGAACAAATGCCATAGTTTCATTGCAATTTCTAACAGGCAATTAAATTTCTGAGAAAAGAATTCTAAAAAACCCTTAATGTTTCCAAAGATTCCATGTTGAGTTCTAAGGGAGTCAGTCGGTTAAAAAAGATAACCAAAATTTTGAGAACGGGATTTATTTTGTTAGAGATAGATAAAAAAACCAGAGTTGTGAGTCTTATAAATCTGAAGACTCCTTGGAAAACAAACAAGACAAATAACTGTAAAATTCCAAAATCTGAGGGAATCAAGGAATGGGGAAAGTACACTGGAATCTAATGTTGAAACTTTTCATCACCTGCAATCACATTGAATTGCACTGTCAGCATGATGGAACATGCAGCACATTTCTATTCATCATGTTTGTGTTTTCAAATCATTCACAGCCTGAATTCCTCTCGAGACAGCATACTCCAGACAGTTGAAGAGTTCCAGACAGCACTGGATTATTGCTAATGTTTCCTCCAATGACTGTAAAACAAATCAAAGTCGATAACATTAAAACTAGCAGCGCGAGTAAACAAGTCCAACTTTCGATCTTGCTCCATTGTTCATTAAGAACATCTTAGGTACATGTCAACATAAGCTTCGTGCATTGAGTCCATGTGTGTCATTCCTTTATTATTGAAAATCTGACCATAGTTACATTAAGTAAATTTAAGCATTGATCACTGATAAATATCTTGCATATACACTTCCTCAAATTCTCACTGATTTAGAGAAGAAACCTCTGCGCCCTACTTTCCTAAATGAAAAGCATCTATCTCAGTGTAAACACCGTGTTATGGATTTAACAGATTAGGAATCATTGCCACAATACCAATATGGTGCAGCCCCTGAAGTACTCCGTATCTTTTAATGAAATAGACTCGGTCATCACAGGAAGAAACTTAGTAAATCTCTCTACATTGGACTACGAAGTTCGACCTGGAATCAGTTCAAAAACATATACTGCTTTCTTTCATAAACTGACAAATATTACTGA